TGTGCGAGGTCAAAATCACCTTGCTCTCCAGATTTTACATGTTCACAGAGAGATGAACAGTTCCACTAGATTGCCGAACACAAGAATTACAAAACTGTCCACACACGTGATTCGGCCCGCGATTGTCGGCAGCCTGCAGGAACTGGAAACAGCTTTTTCCAGGCCTCTGATTGGCCGTCATAGGTAGCTTTAGAAGGTTACATCACCACCCGTTGGCTTAGCAAGCTGCCTTATTGCGTTTTCATATATATTTTAAATTTTTTGTGATAATGAAATAAAGTATGCACATGTTCATTAGACTAAAGTCTCCTTAGGTCGAGCCATGCTTTCCATCACAGAGCCTTCTTATGAATAGGAAACACAAAATGTGATTGTACAAGTCAAAGTACCTCCAACCCACACTTCCCGTGTCATTGATTGGACACCAGGTTTGATAACTCCAGACTCCAATTAGCTTTTGTTAATGCCATTAACCTCAGGGTTATGGCCCTAGGCTTATCAATTCCATTAACATACTTTTTTTCCCAGCCTACCTACATTGTGAGTGTTTCAAGGGTCTGTTCGGTACAGAGTGGTACAATGACTTGTGTGTCCTGAGTTTAACTAGATTGTGTTTGCTTATAACTGTAACAAAGCTCACTTCCTCCTTTTTTATTTTGCAACTCTAAGTAGAAAATATCAAATACACCTATATGTAGTGTTGCAGTAGAGAGAGCTATGTGTGGAACACCATTGTAGATGAAACAGTCACTGCCAAATCAGATTATATCGTCCTGTTTGCACACTCAAGTGGCTTCTGATTGCTTTGTTTTGTTTTTTACAAAAAAAGAAACACTAAAAATGAAGCCATAGTTGGTTAGATAAACTCCTCCTGACAAGGCTTGTTTCGTGTACAAGAATTGACAAGAATAGAGTCACTGCAATGTTTTAAACGACTCATTTAAGATGAAAATATTGGAACTGAGGGTTTAATTTGGACAAAGTTTGCGTAGATAACCTGCCCTGTTCCGTTCTGAATATGTAACATCACTTCATTGTCTGCGGCGCGCCCGAATATCTCATCATTTGTTCAAAAGTGTGACCATTTGCAACTTTTATTCTTGGCACCATATCTGTTAGTGTTTTGAATCCACAACATAAGAGGCATCAGAGACGCGAGTGCCACTTGGCACGAGAGTTCTCATCCTATTACGGTTCATTGGGCTTGTTGAGATGGAATTAGATTGGATTCAAGACAGAAATGGCGTAGGGTGGATTTCCTCTGCACTTGTAGCAATTTGATGTCCCTCTGGGGCGTTCAGACGGGCCAAACACAAATTTGACAGCAGCGGCTCCCTGAAGCAAATCATGTTAAAGTGAGAACAGGCTGTCAAGCTCTCTGTCACTCTTGCGGTTGACAGGGTCGCCTCTTTGTTCATCTCACCAATAAAGAATACATCACAGTCACGGGTGCGCTGAGCCGGAACAGCCCGCTCACTAGAGGTAAAGCTAGGTGTCAATGATTGTTTTAATTAATAATCATTTACCCAGTCTCACCCCACACACCCGGTCGCGTCCTGTACGCTGCAGAGCCGTCAGCTACGATAAACTGAATATAAATCCTCCTTTTTTTTTTTTAGTGCCTTGGTCGTATGTTTAAAGAACGTGTTAATGATGATAAACAGATGACATGTGCAGATTTCACAATTAATTATTAGCATAATTAATCAATCAGTAACAATATGTCACATCTGATAACAGCTTGCATCCATACACGTGCACAGAAGAGCACAATCCACCTCCACAGCAGCTTTTATTTAGATGACTGTAACCCGGGCCTGATCACATTCAGCCAATCAATCAGAAACATTTTCGTCAAAATAACTCGGCCCCTCCGTGATTAGCGATAATTAATGAGAGTTTACACAGGCAAAGCATTCGACGAGTCCTGATTTGTCATAATGTAATTATTCATTTAGATAGCATTGTGTACCAGCGTTTCTCGCTCAGATCTCAAGGTCAGAGCAGAATTCCAATCCATTGATTTGTGGCTGCGTGGGACGTGTCGTGCATAGTTAGGCTGCTTTTCTGATTGCGAGGCTTTTTTTTCGCAACACTTTCTCACCGCCGCTATGAATATAACATCGAACACTGTGGAAAAATATATCATTTTTATCGTCTGCTACCTAATTTTTTGTTCCGAAAGATTGCGCCTGTCTTCATGTTCTGGCATGTGGCTCGAACAGGAAGAGCTTAAATAGACGGATTCAGTGATTGCAAGGTGTGATAATCTAATTTTTTTTTATACATTCTCCCCTTGCTGCAG